GCATACCTTATGAATGCGACACCATTCTTCCTCAACTTGTCATTCCCAATATCATAAAATTATCTGATTCAAAGTGATCAATACCAGTTCATCTCAGCTCACTAATGCCTAGAATGTCGATCTTTATGTGTTCTACTTAATTTTTTTAAACTTCCAATTCTCCTATATTCTTACTTTGTACATTCCATATTCCAGATATTAATGGATGTTTGCAGCTGTTTCTATTAATTTTTCTGTGACTTCTAGTCTGAGTATGTGGCATCAGGATTGGAGAAAGACCCATAAGCAACCTACATTATGCACATAACACAACTTTGGTTGCTGAAAATTAAGAGGATATGAAACACTTGCTGCAGAAGGTCAAGAACTACAGCCTTTGGCACAGATTACATCTTAACATCAGTAAAACAAAGGTCCTCACTACAAGATCAATTAGTCAACATTATGATAACTGGAGAAAGGACTGAAGTTGTCAATGATTTCATGTAGCTCGGATCAACAACCAACACCCTCGGTACCAGCAGTCAGGAAATCAAGAGACATCTTGTATTGGGCAAGTCATTGTTATGGGCTTCTCCAAAATGATGAAGAGCAACAATGTTAATTTGAAGACTAAGGTGTACCTGTCAGGCCATGGTCTTCTCAATCACCTGATGTACATCAGAGAGTTGGACAATGAATAAGGATGACAGAGAAGAATTGATGCCTTTGATTTGTGGTGCTAGAGGAGTATCTTAGTCTATAAGCTCCACTGGAACCTGTCTGCCATAGGTGACCCTGCTGGTATTTGAAAATACTGGTAGCATTACTTCCACCATCATTAAAACCTGCAATTTACCCTAATACAGCAACTGACAGGAAAGTGCTGAGCAATCTATACACAAGCAAGTATATACACTCACAGACTATAAAATAAGCAGGGAGTGTGGGGGGGGAACATCAATATGCAAGTCACACCTCCCAAAACAGAAAATGGACAGATAAGTATTGTATCCATAAGAGAAAACCATGAAACAAGCCAGTATACAAATACAAAAAAACCCCAAAGATGCATGCTATGGAAAAAGTATGTCAAGGTATGTCAAGAGGTGGGATGTCCAGCCTAGGACAGAGTTTCTGCTGATCTCAGAGGAGCCCAGTTGGCCTGGCTAAAGATGGTATCATTGCCAGTCCAGGGGATAGATGACTATACGTCAGAGAAAGTTCCTCTTCTAATCCAGGGACTGATAATAGGCTGGGAACCAGACAGTTTGAAGACTGTGAGAGGAATGCTCTGAGAGCATCTGTCTCCAGAAATAGACATGGCCTGAGACAGAGCTGAGTCTTGGTGAGTATGGGGTAGTGGTAGAATAGGGAGTGGTAGAGGGTGGGGAGAACACTGCCCACCACCTGCTGAGTAATGGGCTAGAGTGGGCACAAGGGACATGGGTAAGATTAAACCTTCTTAGCTGTGTAGATAACACTGCTGCTACTGCTTCCTTCCTGGGTTCTTATGCCATGTGGATAGCTCTTCAAGATGACTGAACTGTGCTATTTGTGGCTTTGTGTTTGCTTGCTCTTCCTATTTGAGGTTTCAATTCAGTTTCATAACCTTTTTACCTTCTGCGATTACTCCTGCTTCTGCTGGTGCTGTCTTGGCTTCTCTAGTTCTCATATCCCTTAGATAACTGTTCAAGATGGCTGTGTTGTGCTTTTTATGGTTCTGTGTTCTGTTGCTCTCTTTAGTCCATGTTTAAGGTACTCACCGACAATCTGTGTTATGAAGATGAAACAATCTTGCTTGCTGAAAGTGAAAAGGACTTGAAACACTTGCTACAGAAGATCAAGAACTACAGTCTTCAATATAGATTACATTTCAACAACAAGAAAACAAAAATCCTCACCACTAGGGGAGCTCTGGTGGCCTAGTGGCAAGAAGCTGCACTGCAATCCCAGAGGAACACGGTTCGAATCCACCAGACGCTCTGCCGGAGAAGGAGGTGCAATATCCTCCTGTACCAGTCAGATCTGATTTGACGGTACACGCACACAAAATTAAAAAAAAAAATCCTCACCACTGGACCAAGAGGCAGTGTAACTATAGATAAAGACTGAGTTGGCAACTATTTCATTTTACTTGGATCTACCATCAACACTCATGGCAACAGCAGTCAAAAAAATAAAAAGATGTGTTGCATTGAGCACATTCGCTGTCAAGGACATCTTCAAAGTGTTGAAGAGGTGTGTTTGACCCAAGTCATAGTCTTTGCAATTACTTCCTATGTATCTGAAAGTTGGATGATGACTAAGGATGACAGAAGAATAATCAATGCCTTTGAACTGTTGTGTTGGAGAAGAGTATTGCGTATGCCATGAAGTGCCAAAAGAACAAACAACTCTATCTTGGAGGAAGTGCAAACAGCTCTGTAGAGGCAAAGACGGCGAAACTTTATCTTTTTTTTTTATTAAATTTTATTAGTTTTAATGAACATTTACAGAGATTTTGGGTTTTCATTCATTCATTGTTGCAGAAACTTCATCTTATAATACTTTGGACATGTTGTCAGGAGTCATTAGTTCTTGAAAAAGGACGTCATGCTTGGACAGGTGGAGGATCAGAGAAAGTGAGGAAAAACCTCAACAAGATGGACTGAAATTGTGACCTTGACAATGGGCTTGAAAATATCAGAGGTTGGGGCAGGAGCCAGATAAGGCAAGGTTCAGATCTATTCATAGGGTTGCTTTGAGTTTTAATTGATTTCATGGCACTTATCAACAAAACAGATGCATACCCAAGAGAATGGAAAATACATGTTCACATGAAAATTTGCATGTGAGTGTCTAAAAGCAGCAATTTTGATAGTAATTCAAGAGTGGAATAGACCTCAAATGTTCATCATATTCATCATCAAAGGAATGGATAGACAAAATGTGCTATAGTTGAATACTTAAATAATAAGATTATTTAGGGTAAAAAGGAATGAAGCTCTTATACAATATAGATGAATATTGAGAATATCATGTTAAGTGAAATAAGTCAGGCCCCAAAGCCCATATATTTCATTATTCTATTTACAAGAAATGCCTAGACTAGGAAAAAATTTATTGACAAAACTTTGATTGGTAATTAGTTTGATATGGAGCTCTGGTGGCATTCCATAGGGAGTTTTATTGTAAACTCAAAGGATGTGTGTCTCTTAGGGTTTGAGTCTACCAGATGCTCTCACGGAGATCCTCCCTTTACAATTTATAGCCTTGCCTCAGAAAGCCGAGGAACAATTCCTATGAGTCAGGGTCAACCCGAAGGCACTGAATTTGAGTTTTGAGTAGACATGGGTATTGGAACAAGGTGGGGGAAAATACATATTAACAGCTAATGAACGTGGATCTCTCTTAGGAGAGGTGAACATATTTAAAAAATTTATAGTGAAGATCCTTGCACAACCTTTTGAATATACTAAAAAATCACTGACTTGCATATACACTTTAAAGAAGAGAAGGGGAGCTCTGGTGGCCTAGTGGTAAGGAGCTGCAACTACAATCCCAGAAGCGCACGGTTCGAATCCACCAGATGCTCTGCCGGGGAAGGAGGGACAATCTCCTCCTGTACCCGTCAGATCTGATTTGACGGTACACTCACACAAAAATAATAAAATAAACATTAAAAATAAGGGAAGAGAAATGTGAGGTCAAGAGGGGTTGCTGGAGAATGTATCCAAAACAATAAAACTTTGGACTTTTTAAAGATAAATAAGTGAAATGTTTAGCATGTGAACTACATCTCAATAAAACGGCTTAAAAATAACTAGGTAGAGATATCTAAATTATAAAAGGTAACCTATCTATAAAGACATAATTGTTGCCATCTGTGGCCAGGTCACTGCGACCCTATGTACAGTAGCTTTGAAGCCTGCCGTGTTCTGAGCCAGTCTTACTGATTCCAACACACCTACCCCACTTCTTCAGTCACTGAATCAATTAATTTAATCCAGGATCTTCCTCTCCTGTGCCATCCTTCCACCCTTCCTAGCAAGATGTCCTTCTCTAAGGACTGGTCCCCTCCTGGCCAGGTGCCTAAGGTATGTGAGATGGAGCTTCAAAATCCTAGCCTTCAAGAAGAAACTTGGTTTCACTCTCTCCAAGACAGACTTACTTGTTTTCTTGGTGGCCCATGGTATGTTCAAGACTCTTCCCCAGCACAACATGAAAGCATCGTATTTAAAATGTCAATAAACTTTCAAGAAAGAGACTGCACATATGTCCCTAAGTTTTTAAAAAAATATCATGTTGCTTTATAAAAAAAAAAGAAGTGAAAAAAAAATAAAAAATATGGAAAAATGTTCCATTTAATCTTTAACATTTAGCACTGTTCTTATTTTTAGGTGCTGTCAAGTCTCTTGCAACTCATAGAGACCCAATGTACAACAGCCCTGAACTCTGCTCTATCTTGAGCCAATTTCATAGTCTCTGACACACCTTCCCCCATTACCCCCATCACTGAGTTAATCCATCTCATCTAGAATCTTCTTCTCTTGCAATGCCCCTCCACCCTTCCAAGTATGATGTTCCTCTCCAAGAACTGGCCTTTCCTTGCAATATACCCAAAGTATGTCAGACGGAGCTTCAAAATCCTTGCCTCCAAGGAGCAGCCTGGTTTCACCCTCTCCAGTACGTACCTGTTTGTTGTCCTAGCAATCCATGTTATATTCAATACTCTTCTCCAGCACCACAACTCAAATTTAGCACTCCTCCAATACAAAAAAAGACCACCCCAAAGTGCTAAAGAGCAAATGATGGCAGTTTAAAGACGATAGTGTTTTAAGACTAATCCAAGTCATGAACTTTTCAATTACTTGATATGCCATCTGAAAATTGGACAATGAATAAAGATGGCAGCACAACAATTGATGTCTTTGAGCTGTGGTGTTTGAAAAGAGTACTGACTCTCCCATTGACTGCCAAAAGAACAAAACAAGTCTGTCTTGGAGAAAGTGCAATTAGGCAGCTTCTTAGATGCAAGGATGACGAGACTTCGAGACTTCGTCTCACGTAACTTTGGGCAAGTTGTTTGGAAAAACCAGTCCTTGGGGGAGGGGGGGGGAGGGAAGACATCATGGTGGAAAGTCATCCAAAGAAGGAAGACCCTGGACAAGATGGATCAACAGCGATCATATCAATGCGCTCAAGCATATCAGAGATGATGAGAACCGCACAGGACCAAGGTTCAGATTCCTTGTTCATAGTGTCACTATGAGTCATAGTCGACTCAATGACACCTAACAACAACAGACTGTGAGCTCAAAGGGCAAAGATTCAATTTTTTTTCTCTGCGTCTCGAGGTCTTTGCCCAGTACCTGGCTTTACCCTTCCTCGCCCTGTTTTTATGAGCCCCACCCTCATGAGATTTCCTGCCCTTTGCACCTGCCTTGCCCTAAAAGACTTCGCTCCGCCTCTAGAGCCACTGTTTCCTGCTAGACTAGTACCAGATGATTGACTAGTCTCTACTCCAATCACAAAGCTGAGATAGTACTTCACTACCAATTAGGCAGTAGCAGAGGCGGGCGCTATAGTATGAAGTAGGGGTGACCAGGAAGTGAGAGCTGAGGCTGGAAAGGACGCATCGAGCCCTGGCTGTTGTAAAAAAGGTGATGGGGCATCTAGATTTTCCCACTACTTTCTTTTCCCAACCCTGGGTCGGTGTCCCTTTGCCTCTCGGAATTAGGATCGCCATCTCCTCTCTCTCTTAAATGAGGAAGGGGATATGTCTATATATTTAAACGTTTAAGGATCTTTCTTGAGTTTCTTTTCCTCTAAAGAAATCCTCTTATTCTGGGCTGGGAGTTCTGTTGTTTGAGATCCTTTCTTAGCCAATACAGTGAGTGGCGTGGTTAAAACCCTGCAGAGCCTAAGAGATTGAGTGATGGGAACTGTGGGCTTGGGGTCGCCGCCCCTGTTTGTGAAGGGGTAGAGACTTGCCCCTCTTGCCAGAGGCATAGGAAGGTGGGCAGATAAAGGAAACAAAACTCTTGTGATTAGGGGACCAGAAAGAAAATGGATGTTCAGGGGGAATGAATGAATGGAAAGAAACTTTCCTTAGGTGTCCTGGTTAAATGAAGGGTCAGTGGGAGAACGAACTATGAGGCAGGAACTTTGAAGTTCTAAAATCTCCTTTCCATCTCGGCCAGCTTTTTGCCTCACTTCTTTCTTCTCAGGCTTGAGAAAACACCTGAACATGTGGAATGCCGGTACCGGTAGGTGGTTGGGAGATCCCTTCCTCATTTCATACTCTCTTTTCAGAAGGACCCCACTACAGGAACTTCCTAGGTCAGTTCGTATCCCTCTAATTTATCCCCAAAGCAAAGCCCTTAGACCACAGAGTTCACTGCTTTCCTCTCTCCTCAGCCCTCCCAGGTTCTTCAGGTTTTTCTTTTCCACGCAGGTTTACCTTCCCACCCTTTTATTCTACTTCCTCACTTTTCCATTACTTTTCAAGTGCAGTTGTGTTAAATAGAGTTGATGCTGCCTTAGGTGACAAGGTAGAACTGCCCCAAAGGATCTTACTGTTTTGACTGTAATCTTTATGGAAGCAGATTGCAAGGTCTTTCTTTCATGGAGTCTCTGGGTGGGTTCAAAACAGCCAAGTATTTAACCATTGAACTACCCGGAGCTAAGAACTCAGTGAGAAGCTGAATCTGCTTCTTTTTGTTCTAGTAGTTTGTTGTCAGAGGTTCTGAGTAATTCTAATCTTACATATATTCTCTGTTCTTACACCAGGACTGCCGGGGCCAAATCCATACCCCCCCAACATTGCATGTCCTGGGGGTTCCAACCCTGTCTATCCACCACCTGGCAATCCTGCTTTTCCTCCAGGCTCCTTTCCCACTCCCCCAGGAGTACCTCATGGGAATCCAGCCTTGCCCCCATGTGCACCTCCACAACCTGTGCCCCAGCCAGGGTATCCGGGATGCCACCCCCCAGGACCCTATCCACCTCCTTACCCACCACCTGCCCCTGGCATGCCTCCTATGAATCCCTTGGCTCCTGGCATGATGGGACCAGGAATGGTGATGGATAAGAAGACACGGAAAAAAATGAAGAAAGCTCATAAAAAGATGCACAAACACCACAAACATGGCAAGGTCAGTGCTCTTCTGAAATCAAGGTTGGGGGGACATGCTCCAGATAATGCAGCCTGGAGTTGGCCAAGGGAGAGTCACAGTCTGATGTCTTGGGGTTGGTTTGTGGTACTTTTGATAGACACTTAAGTAAACGCATTGCTGTTGAGACAGTTCTGACTCATGGCCACCCTCCTTTGGATTTCAGAGGCTTTCAGTGTTTACTGTGGAACAGCAGTCTGACATAATATCTCTTACCAGATAAAACCAGAGTTGTTCTTTTTGGTAAAGGATTATCACTAATAGATAAGCTTGAAATTTCATTGGCCCTCAAAGTGGGAGGGGCTAGGCTGAATCTAAGAATAGGCCACTTACTGCCCTCAGTAGATTCCCACCCTCAATCAGCTATCAGAGGCAGTGAAGTTTTAATCTTTTTCCTATGGATTTGAACCAGAGGAGTCTTGCGTCCTTTCTGTAAGCATTACATGCTATGACTAAGGCATCAGAGCTATGTTAGATGCTGTTGAATGATTTCAACCCTTAGTGACCCCATATGACTGAGTAGAACCATCTGTAGGATTTTCTAGCTTTGCAGAAGCTAGATCTTTCTCTTGTGAAGCTGCTGGGTGGGTTAATGCTTAACTAAGGCTCCTTAAGGCCCATGTTGTTGTATGTCTTTGAATTGATCCTGAGTCATAGTGATCCTATAGGACAAAGTAGAACTATCCTATAGGAATTTCTAGGCTGTAAATCTTTATAGGAGCAGCTCGCCAAGACTTTCACCTGAGGAGACTTTAGGGGGTTTGAGCTGCCAACCTTTTGATTGGCAAGCGTTTATTGTACCACCAGGGCTCTTCTAAAGGCCCATAAAAATAAAGCAAGCAAACCTATTATCAAGTTGACTCCAACTAGTAAAGATCCTGTAGGACAGAGCAGAACAGTCACATTGTTGTTTTGTACCTTTGAGTTGGAACCAACCCATGGCTGACCGCCCCCAGTGGATTTTCAGAGACAGTAAATTGAATGGAAGGAGAATGCCCATCTTTCGCCTATGGAGTAGCTAGTGGATTTGAACCTTGTACATTTACATTGGCAACACAATTCCTTACCACTAGCCACCAGAGCTCCCTAGGATATGCAAACTTTAAGGAAAAGTTAGAGATTGCATCAGTATACAGTCTGTAAGGAAGCAGATTGCCAGATCTTTCTCTCAGAGTGGCTGTTAAGTGCTGTTGAGTCAGAACCCACTCCTAGCTGACCCTCCAGTGGATTTTCTGAGGCTACACAGAAGGAGATTGCCCATCTTTCTCCTACTGAGCTGTAGGTGATTTCGAACTGCCAGCCTTTGGCTTGGTAGCACAACTTCTTATCACTAGGCTACCAGAGCTCAAACGAACTTTTGGTTAGTTGGTGAGGGGTTTATCATTGCAAGACTAGGAATCCCTCTTAAAGCACAAAATAAAGCCTAAAATTTGAGATTCTGAGTCTTTGGTATAGGTCTGAGGAAAAGGAAAGGTGAGACTGGATGGGGAAGAAATTGTTCTAGATGCTCAAAAGTTTTTAAATAGAGATTATTGATAGGATTATGTAAATAAGGAGCTTTGACTAGAACTCTCCCAACCTTCTCTTTTATCTTCCCTACTTTTTCCCCAAGAGAGCTTCAGCAAAAGGAGAGATGCATATACATACAGCTGCTGATTCTACTCCCTTTTTTTAGATTCATAGCCACTAAGGACTTTTCATGCAGTTAATAGGTATAAGATAGCAGTTATTTCTAGCATTGCACTGTGCCATTGTTGTTATGTGCCGTCATGTCGCTTGCGATTCATAGTGACCCTATGTACAACAGGCCTAAACCCTGCTCTGTCACTGCCTCTGACACACCCATCCCAATTACCCCAGTCACTGAATCAATCCACCTCATAGAGGGTCTTCCTCTCCTGTGCTGTCCCTCCACCCTCCCAAGCATGATGTCCCTCTCCAAGAACCTGTCCTATTGCCTATCATTTATTCCTTGCTTAGGCAATGACTCAAGTAAAGAAACATACTTGTTCGAGATGCAGTAGTTTAAATTCAATGTAATGAAATAGGACTGTTTCATCCATTTCTATGTTTATTGCTGGGGGGAAAAAACCCCAACCTCACCCTGTGCAATTCAAGGGACAGTCTGGTTCAAAAACTCTTGACTTTCTTGGGGAAGGAAGGGTAGTTGGGTAGAAGGGTGGGGCACCAGAGAATGGCCACAGGGTTGATCACGTGGCATTTGGATCTGATGCTATCTCCTCTCCCCTTTCCCCTTGCAGCATTCCTCCTCCTCCTCTTCCAGCAGTGACTCTGACTGAATACAGGGCCTGGACCCTCCCCTCAAGTCTCACCAGTTCTACTCTCCCATCAAGCTTCAGATGCCATGTTGTACTGAGGGGAATTAACCCTTGTACCTCCTGCCTGAACCTCATCCTGCTGCTTAGCCCTAACTAGCTAGGGAAAGTGGGAAAAGCTCATTATCCTGAGCTGGCAGAGTCCTTGGACAGAATTTTCAGCTGATGAGTTTAGCAAGGGGGTTGGTTTG